CCCCAAAACCCCAAAACCCCAAAACCCCTTTCTGCTGGATATTTAGCAAATTAAAAATGATCTTCGAGTGGTTCCTGCTCTTTGTCCTATTTTACATCCTTCTAATTGTTTGGGATACTTGGGAGTAAGTCACATTCTTAATATCTAGGCAAAAGACAGCGAAAATCCCTGACTTCAATGGCAAAGTTGTGCTTGTCACAGGTGCTAGTAGCGGGATTGGAAGACAGCTAGCGAAAGATCTCAATCAGAAAGGTGCTGAGGTGAGCTTAGACACTTGTACAAACAAGCTTATAGTTTAGGTAGTGATCACAGCCAGAAGAATTGAGGCTTTGGAGCAAGGTAAAATTTAGATGATCCTCTTTAGTCAAGCAAGAATGTAAATTCCCACAAAAAGTACATGTGGTTAGGATGGATCTGAACAACATTGAAGAAGTTCAAGAGATATGAGGTAGTAAACTTTGCCTGAATCAATTATGCTGCAAAATATCTTACTTTTTCTTCTGCATAGAGACTTAACTCTTTGTCTATAGTAAAGGAGATCAACCAGAAGTACAAGATCGATATCCTGATCAATAACGGTGGAGTCGGAATTAGGGATGAGTTCAAGAATATCCATCTTAAAGTTGTCAGACAAGTCATGAATGTAAACTTTCTCTCTGTTTGTGCCTTGTCCAGATACATAGGTAAAAGTATGTTTCAAATTTTAGGGGAAGGAATGGTTCAAAGGAAGCAGGGTCACATTGTAAATATCGGATCAATGGCTGGCTTGTTCCCTTTACCAATGAGGACCATCTATTCCGCTTCTAAATATTCAGTCAAGCTGTTTAGCAATAGCTTGAAGGCTGAATTAAGAGACTCAGGGGTGATCATCACAGATGTGTTTCCAGGATATGTAAGAGGAATACTAATCTGATAGGTTAAAACTAATGTTTCAGCCAATGCTCTTGTTGGAGACGGGAAACTCTACGGAAAGCTGGATGATAATATTGGTGGAGGAATGGAGGTTGATGATCTCTGCAGGAGAGCTTTGCATTATATTAAGATGAATGAGTCAAGGAAGGGTTTGAATAGATTTTTTGGGTTAGATTATAGCCGACTCGTTGTTGGGAAGTTTTATGCTAAACTTGTTGTGATACTATGCTCTTTAAGTGATGATATTTATGAATTCATCAGCAAGGTAATGCCTTTTTATCTAATTTTTAGATACAATATAAGGTATATCTAATTTATAAACCAACAAATAGACCCAAGTTGAAATCACAAAGAACGCTAAATAAGCTCTTATGAAGCCTTATTGTATCAAGTCCATATTGGTTAAAAAGTTTAGCGAAAATGATTCAGCCAAGATACTATGTAAAGGGGTTTTGGGGTTTTGGGGTTTTGGGGTTTTGGGG